CCGACTGTTGTTATACTGACTGTTGCCCCACAGCAGTGACTTTTATCATCATCATGTGCCTGAGTACACTGAGTCCATCCTCACGCACCCACGACCTGTTTCAGTCTGCATCCTAAAAGGACGCCCCTCTCAAATCACTCATGTGCTAATGCTGTTCCTGCACTTCAGTTCAGTTCCTGTTCCATGATGGTAACAGCAGTAACACCTCCAACAACATCATGCTGCGCAAAAGGCTCCACAGCAGCGTGTGCTCAGCCCACTACTCCTCACCCAGCTGATCCACCAACCAAATCATTGGGTTTCCAGATGACATGGCTCCAGTGGGCCTCACCACTACAGGAGTGAGATTAGCCATTTGGTCCAGTGGTGTAAAAACAATCCTCTCCTTCTGAATGTAGAGAACACCAAGAGACCTGAGGTCACCTCGACTATCAAAGCTGCTGCTGTGCATTGGTGGCCTGAGAAGGCTCAAACTCAGCTGCGCTTACTTCGTAAGCAGGAAAGCACGAGTCCCACCTCGCATCATGGGCAGCCTTAAGAGTTTCCTTAGTGGCTGCATCACTGTGGGGTACAGAGGCTGAACATCCATCTGCCAGAAGCCCCAGAGAGGCATAGTGAACACAGGCAGCAAGATCCTCAGTCCCCCTCCCCACCCTCAACACCCACATGCCACCAGCATTGCTGTTGACGCCTCCCAGCCTCCACAATCCTCCTGCCTTTGGGAAGGAGGTACCAGGATCTGTCTGAAAGACTGAGCAGCTTCATTTATCAGGCTGGGGAGGTGTTTGGAGTTTCATTGTTTTGTAGTGTTGGTCATGTGACAGCCTTGTGTGTCACAGGGTTTAGCTAACCCAGTATTTAAGTTCCTGATGCGTCAGTTTGTCTTGTGTTTGTTTTTGTAGCTAATATTTGGAGTTGAGTTTATCGAGTTGACCTCTTTTCTTGGTCTGCCTGTCCAAGTTTTGGATTTGTTCATCATTTTTCATATTTCAGGGTAAATAAAAACACACTTTTGGATTTAAACACCTGTGTCCTCGATGCTGTTGATGTGTAATTAACTGAAATTACAAATAGATTTTTGGGACTAGGACAATCAAATTAATTACA